ATTATATGTATATAATAATTATAATATATAGAACACGGATCATAGAGATCATACAGGTAGGAGCTTACTTGAATTTACCAATAATCGTACATGTATACATATAGGTAGGTATATAATATGGAAATAATAATCGCAATTTATAGTATATTGTAGCCTGTAGGTACATTGTACATATTAAACAACAACTAGTTGTCGTTAAATGTATATATTTAATGCGAGTGCATTATATTATATACACTATTATAATATTTCATAGTACCTATATACTCCGCTGCACTGAACAACGATACCATCATTATATTATATATTATATATTATAATATTTGTACATGATATAATATATTATTATGATCTGTATATTGATCAATCGGATAGATTGTTATATCAATATTATTACCCGATAGCTCGATATATATATACATATATGTATATATGATGTATGATCCGGAGTTATATAAAATATAAATATAGGTAAATTAATTATATAAATATGCCATGGAAATAATAATTTCTGCAGTATATAATGTATAGCTATACATAATATTGTGTATTTATTATTTATATTRCAAACATTGCACTTGTTCTATATCATATTGTATATACTCGCAATATTACTATACTAATTATTATTACTTCACTCGCATTGCATCGACGATTTACCTTCGCGAGTTCAGTTGTTCAGTACACATATTATACTTATACATCATATCTATCACGACATGTACCTATCATATCATCATATTATATTTATTATAATTAACAGACATCCCGGGGATATCAATTTATATATACCATAACAATACCATATAGGTAAAAAACTAATAACACTACGTGTGTCCTTAAAGTTTATAATGTTTTATGTTGTATCGTGTGTGAGTATATACCTATTATTATTGCTTGTTATTTTGTTAAGCCATCCCGCGCTGTGATTGATAATATAACGCTAAATCTATAAACCTCAGTGAGGTTACCTCACGATTCTCAGCCCGATCAGTATAATGGTTAACGAAATCCAAAGCTTTTTGCCAAACCCAATACCATGTCATTGACATCCTTCGATTTGTATCGACTTAAACTGTGCTTCTGACCAATTTATGTCATTCTATTATGGTAGGTATGTCCTTAGCAAATACATAACTCATATCACAGTATACAACCTTGTCACCTTCTCCTCATTTCTCTTTGGATCATTTTATTGTAATATACGTATTTTGTTTTTTGGGCTCTTGACTGCTAAATATACAATAAATCAATAAACTAATAAAAAACGGTTTAAATTTATTATAACAAGATTTAGAAGTCGTTGTTTATAAACGGATTAGATTTAGTAAACTCACTAAATAAACCACCATCATGTATAAACAAAACAAACTCTGAATCACTTATACTATTTCTTAAGTTTGTAGCTTTGGTCTAAAAGTACCAATCTCACTTTTTTTTACAACTTTTAAGATCACTTAGTAGTTAGTTCTAATTATCAAAATGGATCATTATTTTAAAAAATAAGCTGAATAAGGTTTGGAACGGAGCTAAATTATAATTGCCCAAAAAAATGAGATTGTTTGGACATCTTTAAAACCAAACTATACAGCAGTAGGTACCTATAATTATATTCAAAAATCATAATATTATGTKACCTCATCGTTAAAGGTTGCAGATATTATGGTATAAGTATAATCGATCCACTCCGCAGCAGTGCAACARAATCGTTAATATATAATATTATACAGTTTATGAGAATATTATAATTTAGACGACTGTTCATTCATCGTGAATCTTTGTGTAGGTATATACGTCTAAAAAGAGTTGTAAAATTTTACATTGCACTATTAAGTACAAACGGTCTCCATCATCGCAACCAAAATTGCATATTTATAAATATATTATAATGTATATACGAAATAAATTTTGTAGTCGTAGCTAATGTCAGCGCGGTGCTTATAAATATTAAATAGTATAATGTTTTTTCCGACTCTGTTTTACTGAATAGCTACGCTCGTTGTAGGCCAAAATATGACCTACATAAACCTATACGATAAACGAATGCTTTTTYTGTACCTATACTAATTTGAGTAAATTATGTTTCAACAGCAACAGCGGCGGCGGCAGCAGTATCAGCAGCGGCGGAGGGGGTATCGGCCGTGGCCGCCGTGGCGTCGGTGGACGATAGCCACGGACCACAGAAAGACGACCAGCCACAGTCGGGAGAGTACGCAGCAGTACCGTTTGACGAGAGACAACGTACCGCCGCGGCCACTGCGGTGGCCATGGCCGCGACCATGATGCGGGAGAGGTCTGCCGTCGTGGCGGCGGCGGCTATGGTGGTTCAACAGCAACAACATAAGCAGCAACAACAACAGMAACAGCAGCAGCAGCACCACCAAATGCAACAGCAGCAACAGTTGCACCAACAGCAACAGCAACACTGTAGGTCGTTAATGGCCGCGGTGGCCAGTAGTGGTGGCCACGGAACCGGAACCGGCTCGGCGGGTTACGACTATTATTCGTCACCGCCACCCGGCTACTACAGCGGCGCCGTGGACGACGATAACGGCGCGGACGACGACGCGGAAAACGGCGGCTGCGACGATCACGCCGACGGTGACGGCAGAGACGGAATAKTGGACATGAGCGGAGCCGGTGGCGGCCACGACGCTTCGGCGGACAACGACGACGATTGCTACGGTGGTCCGCCATCCGCGGGTGGTACCAACAAAAGGAAACAGCGCCGGTACCGGACCACGTTCACCAGTTACCAACTTGACGAGCTGGAGAAGGCGTTCGGCCGTACCCACTACCCGGACGTGTTCACCAGGTGAGTTCCTCAAGTCTTTTACACGTAGGCACAAATAGGGAGGCAGGCAGGCTCAGGGGGTATTTGCACCCCTATTTTTAAAACTAGCACCATCAAATAATGTTTGTGTAAATATATCAAAAACTTCTCAAAAAAAAAAAAAAAAAAAACAGATGAGAAAATGCGTATTTTAAGCACCCTTACTTTTTTTTTTTATTGAAATTGCACCTATGATTTTACAGCCATTTTATCTATAAATAAAATTATGTAAATCTGGGAAGGTAGACCCAAACAGTAGACTTTTGCACCGTTATCAGGTCAGTTTTCTTAGTAAAGTTTCCAGTTAAGTTTTAGGGATGATGATWATGCGTTTAAATTGGTTTGAATGTGTGGTATAAATACCTATTAATTATTATATAAGTAGGTAACGTTTAATACAACGGTTCTCAACGTTTATTTTTCGCGTACCAATTTAGTATCTAATATAATAGAATTGTTCAAAATTGTAACAAATTTCTTTCAAACAATAAGACGGTAAATTACTACAATATTATTATTCATTCATAGAATATTGTATTMATTTTAATAAATTGTACCTTTTAATAACAAACAATAATTCAATTTTATAATGTATTCAAAATATCTACATTCTAGTATTCTATACGTACCTATACTTGCGCATTGCATGTTGACGATAAGATTTGTTGTATTTTCCGATTTTCCGATTTACCGTGATACCTACCGGATAAAAATAATAATGCATGTCATACGTTGTATGGAATAATTTTATTACGAGTAAATTAGTTTTTAATTTATTTAAATTACTCACTCTCCGCRCGTAGTTCTACCAATTTGTGACCTTTCGTATACCAMTATATGTAAGTCTTCCGCGTACCATAGTGTTAAATAACTGCTGGTTTGACATGTTATATTTTCAAACGTTAACAATTTTAAATTATTTTTATACCAATAAACAAAATAAATGATGCAAAAACTGTACGTGTACGCTGCAATACGCATTTAACATCTTGAGAGTTTAACGTTTCGTTTGTTTTGATTTCAAAAATAATACTAAAACATGTGCTGATAATCACAAAACCAGAAAATAAGCATTAAACGCAAGATAAAAAAAATGGTAACATTTAATTCAGTAGAGCATGAATGGAATTTGTATAATATTATAATATCTAGGTTATCATTAAATCGGATTTATAGAAAAAACGAGGAATTTTATAAACATTTAAGATAATAATAATTATTATATTTTTTCACTGAATTAAATTGTAATATTATATAGGTACTTGTAAATTCCAAGTGGCAGTTTCAGTTTACAGAATACAATGTAATCAACGTTTTTAGGTTAGAAGGTGGGCTGAGATATTCAATACATAGTATTTATGAATTTCAAATCATGCATATGATGAAGGCATCTCTTTATCTCTCATGTCCTTCGATACTACCCATAATATTCTTTTAAGTTTTTTTTATYGGTTTATAAATATTTAAATCTAACAATCAACAATAATTATTGTTCGCAATAATATAATGGTGATCCAAAATTTTAAGAACCTGCTATATAATGTTGTATACTATATATACGGATGTGAACTGTGCTTCATAATGAATTGGAAACTATTTACCGGTCTGTCATAAATCATAATAAATAATATTAATGAGTAGCTATATATAAAAATGTTTTATTTATTTAAAATTTGTTTATTTTTAACTGCTGAACTTGGCTTATTACAAATCTTATTTAATTTCAATTTATCTTCTGACTTAAATTTAAAAAGATTTACTTTCTTTGAAATTCTCTGTTTTTTAAAAAACTCGTTTGAGCTAATTTGTTTTGTGTCGTTCAATAGATTTTTTTTCTTAATCAAAATATAGGTACCATAAATATAATAAACAATAATATTAAGTATACGTACATACCGCGTTATGCTTGAAAACAGGCGATCTATGTGGGCCTGAGTAAAATACACCCACATTCATTTTGACAGTTTAATGTAATATTTTTTTAATGGGCTTGTGTGCTTGTTGCAGGGAGGAACTAGCGTCGAAAATTGGACTGACCGAAGCCAGAATACAGGTAACTTACTTTTAGGTAGTATTTAATATTTTATTGTAGTAAATATAGATAATACATTATAGTATAATATTGTTGTATTACCTAACGTTTAGTATGTATRATAATAAATAATAATATTATGTGCAGACAGTGCAGTTTTGAAAAAATACCTATTAGCAAAGTATATAAAATACGTATTTGAACTCCCAATAAAAGAGTTATGAATATTTCATAAAAGTATTTGTTGATAAATTTAAATACTTTCATATTGTTTGTATTTGCTTTATAAACAATTGTTCAAACATT